TTGCAAAGGTAAAATGATTGGCTAGAATCCAAAGTGTATGACATCTCAGGAAAAGAAAGCACCGAAATGTGCGCTGCTTTTCGGTCTGGTTACTACCGTTTATGTCAGAACCACACCAGTACCCATCCCTAGTAAACTGTGGATAGAATAATGACATGGGAGATTATTTAGCACAGAACTAATTTGAAATAGTATGTTTAGACACTTTGTCATTCGTCACAAACCATATCGTTTGGTGACATTTGTTTAGTTGACTCTATGAAAAACATTTCAAGATAACAGTCTGACACGCATAAAATTGTACTTTTGCACCAACGAGGTGATTCCCAAAGAGCTACAAGCTGAAAACTTGGTATAGCTCAACATGGTGTGCAGTCTGTTCTCAAAGATTTTGAAGAAACTGGACAAGTGAAGGACAAAAGAAGAAGTGGTAGTTCTAAAAAACAATTTACACCAGATGTTCTTAAAGAAATAGGGGAAAACTTCCTGCAAACACTTATCACAGCACCCAAACGATGCATAACACCCTTCAGCTGAAAAGAAAAAAGCATTGTCAAATTTTGAAGAACCATTCAATATGACCTGGAAGGCATTTGATTGGTAACGGCTTCATTTTTCAGCATGGCAACCAATGTGGTATCATCTTAACGGAGAACGGAAGAATCAAAAGGAAGCAAACATCCAAAGAAGACTTTGAATGTCCTTCGAGACCCCTGGAGAACTATTCCTGAAGACTACTTAAAGAAATTACAAGAAAGCTTGGCTGAGAGTTCAGGCTGTGCTGAAAAATAAAGGTGGTCACACAAAATGGTGACTTTCAAGCTTGTTAGGATTGTATAACACAGCCTTATAGACTGTGTTACTGTGCATGTTTGCATGTATTTCCTATTTTCCCAGCAAAACACAAAGAACTGAACGGTGGCTCAAGACTTTTGCAAAGTACAGTACATGCAAATATTTAAATTTCTAAGACAAACCAAAAATCCACACACGTTTTATGTTTTAATTCAAACTTCTACAAATATATATTTATTTTTAATATATGTATACATAGCTTATTTTTTTCTACCCTTTAATTTATTTTGCCATAATTTTATTCATCACATTACTTACCTTTTTCCAAATCTATCAAAATTGACCTATACATTATAGCTTCATATTTATTTTAGGTGCACGAAATATTATTTCTAGTACTTGCCTTTTCTTTTCTAACTGACACGTGTGCAGAGATAACATGTTCGTACAGGTGCAGATGGTGTTTTAGTCATTTTCTTTCTCAAGGCATGAGAAAGAAAATGCCTTATTCCTGTTTTCCACATTTTAAATGTGGAAAAAGGGAATTAGACTGAGAAATTCCTCAGTGTTCCAATTTGAGGACGTGTGTGCACTTTGTGAGACTTTACATTTATGCATTTTTTCATTTATATGAGATAGAATATTGATTTATTTTTAATTTTATTTTTATATAGCTAAATCGCAACAGCAGTCGACTTAAGCCAGTTTACATTGTAAGGCAGATACATTACAATAATAATATAGATCAAGTCTGTTTATCACTTTCTGCCGACCAGCACCTTCAACCACAGACAAATCTCTGCTCGTGTTTACTCTGACTTCTCATCCTTTAGTAATCCACAACTGTTCAGACACAGAGTACAATGTATCCAACTCTGACTGTGACCACAGCTGTGGTTACATTCCTGTTTACACTAATCAAAGACTCTCTGTTCTGTTGATATTACTTAAGCCCTGCTCCTCCACAGCCTCCTCCTCCTCCACGCCTCCTAGTCATAGATCAACTGGGATTGTGTGTGTTTATGTCTATATTATAATGTGTTATGCAAACAATTATGTGTGGTGAAAGTTACAAACCCACAGGACGTGTGTGGAGCGATCCAAAAAGAGTTTATGGCACTCTGCACCACGCAGTGCCATGAGGGAGCGATGTGGTGTGCAGATTAAATTAAAAGTATTACTCCAGAAGTGCTTTTTTAAAACTCAGTCCTGCTGTGTAACTGGCGACTTGTGCAGTTTTCTTTTTACTTGCGTGCTCCAACATGTGACGTGTTTCCACAAATGGTTTGAAGCTATTAATCCAAGTATGGAAACTGCGCTCACCTTTCGAACACGTGCTGGAATACGAAGTCCCGGAGCTGAACTGAAACCTGTGAAAGTTCCTGGAGATGTGATAGAGGTGTGCAGCCTGACCACAGGACTCTAATCTCGGCCCTTTCAAATCCCCGCTCTCGCGTGGGCCAACTTACCCTCCAGCGTGACTTCTTTGCCTGCCTTCTTGAGCGCCTGGACCGCCTGGTCGTGCGTTGCCTCCCGGAGGTCGTTGCCGTTCACCGACAGGATCGCGTCGCCCACCCGGAGAGCCCGGCTCTGGTCTGCGGCGAGCCCCGGGAAGATCTTTGAGATGAGGATGGGCATCCTGTTCTCGCGCCCCCCCTTAATGCTGATCCCCAGCCCGCCAGACTCCTGTTTGACAACCCGGACTTTGCGCACAGCTTCCGAAGACCCGTCCAGGCTGACGTGGAAGTCGCCTGGTCTCGACCCGAAACTGGACCCGGGGCTGCCGTAGCTGGAGCCGGGGCTCCCGAAGTCTGAGTTAGTGCCGTTATTCGGGTACTTTCCAGGGCTGTTCATGCTGTAACCGCCGTCGTACTGACCCCGACTGACCCCCCCGCGCCCCGGGCTGCCACTGCGCCCCCGACCCCCGTGGCTCTGGTTCTGGAGTTGGTCCTGACCCGAGGAATGACCGCGGCCGGGGTTCCCGGGACTTGTTCCCGGGTCGTTTCCGTTTGACATGCCATTTCGCAGGCCCGCCGAAGAGTTGCTGTAGTCCCAGTGATTGGTCCCGGGGCCGGTTGCCTCCGCGTCGGCCGTCAAAGTGAGCGTTTCTCGGGTGAGCTCGGCGGTCACTCGGATCCAGCGGTCACGGAGCAGAAGGTCCAGCTGTCCGTTTTTGTCTGCTCGGGTCCAAACTGCCATTCCGGGACGGTTAGCCTGCTCCGAGGCGGGCCGCTTTCACACTAAACTCATCATCAACTTTTTCCTCTTTTTCAGAGCGCGCACAAGCAGCGACTAGGCTCCACGGGCCCGCATTGACACACCCACTCCCGCCGTGACTGCAGGCAGAGGTGGGGGGAGACAGAAGGACTCCCAGAACACAGGGAGAGAAGAGGAAAAGCACAACTGGCTGTGATGTGCCAGCTTGTTGTTGAGTTCAGGCTCTGAGGATGTCCAACTTCCACTGGAAGTTAGAGCGACTGAAACGAGAAAGCTTCCTGTCAACCCTTTCAAAATAAAAAAAGCGGTCAGAGTAGACGGCTCCTGCCAGTGCAGGAAACCAAGAAAGAGAAGACGAGGCTCAAAATATGGACTAAAAACACTGACATAAAAGAAAAAGGGCAAAAGTCCACAAGAAAAAGCAAGGAGTTAAGATTAAAATTCATCATATTTCTTTAAAGAAAATATATAAAACCTAAAAATAAATCACACAATTAAGACCCCAAGTGAAAACATAACAAATTGAAGTCAAAACGATTTACATATTAAGTCCAAATTTAGAAGAAAGTACACCCACTGACAATTTTAAGATTTTGCATATCAGGAAATGTTAAATAATAATAATAATAATAATAATAATAATAATAATAATAATCCTCACCAGGTCTTACAACTGCAGGAGAACATCAACACATGACTTACTACACAATATCATTATTTATTTACCCCAGAAACAATGTCAGAAGCAGCTTGTAAAAACGCGCCATCGTTCACAGTTCATAGATTCACCTTTAGCATTAATAACTTGGAGAAATAACTTTGCGTATAACTTCTGTCTGTCACGTGGTCGTGGGAGATTTCAGCCCACTCTTCTTTACAGTGTTGCTTCATTTCATTGAGGTTTGTGGGCATTTATTTATGCACACCTCTCATAACATCCCACCATAGAATTTGAGGTTGAGGTCTGGACTTGGCCATTGAAACACCTTGATTCTTTTCCTTCCCCCCCCAGTCATCCTGTTATATACTTGTTGCTGTGTTTGGGGTCATTGTCTGTCGTATGACCCAGTTGGGCCTTTGGGCTTCACATTTGACTCTGAGTTTATGGTCGACTCTGTGGCTGGTAGGAGCCCAGGTCCCCATGGCTGGAAAATAAGCCCAAATCATCACTCCTCCATCACCCTGCTTAATACTTGGCAGGAGGTGTTTGTGCCTAGAAGCTGAATTTGGTTTTCTCCAATTTCTCCAAATTCCACTGTGCACCGTTCACTTTGGTCTCATCAGTCCAGAGGAAATTCATCCAGAGGTTTTGTGGTGTTTTTAGATGCAAATTTGGAAATTATTTACAAAACTACTTTCGGCTGCTCCGTTGTTCACAAGGTGGTCGTCACAGTGGGTAGCTCTGCATGTTGGATTTGGCAGATGTTATAAGGATTTGTCCTTCCTGATGGAGCTCTGAAGGGATTTGTGTCTCTACCTGAGATCAAACAAGGTATCTTTCACTTGTTAGGCGAATTTGTAAACCACTACATGCCAGAGCCATTAAAAAAAGGATTATTTGATATTGAAAAAATCAGGATTTTCAAGTGAATTTTAAAAATTTTTAAAACAACCCAGGGTGTTTAATGTCAAAACTGTGAGATTTTAAGTCACATTTTGACTGAGGATGTCGATATGTTGTATTTTAACTGGTTTTAAGTTACATTTTTATTTTATTTTGAATGAACTAATATTAACAATAATAATATTCATGACAAATAATTAAATAATAAATAACCAAGAATTAAAAAAAAGTTTTACTTTTTAAAATCCAAATTTAGTTACCAGTCATTTGCAGTCTAATTTCTGACTTACTAGGTCAAAATTACAGCTTAAGTTTGTGTGAGAGAAACATCTGACAAAAAATTCAAAATTTTACTAGAAGTACAGAATATAAGATAGTTAATATTTTCACTTTGAAAAGTCCAAAGTCAGTTTTCAGTTATTGTTTGGGAGCATTTGGAGCCAATATGAAAGATAAAATTATTTAAATTAATTGCATGAATTATATAAATATAAAAAAAATGTAAGCCACTGAACACAAAACTTGTAAAACAGTTTAAACTTGTCGTGATGATAAAGGTGTCCTGAAACCCAGAGCCTTCATTAGGTGGACCACATACTCGAACGCTTTTATTCTGAAAGTATAATCACCCACCTTCCTCTTTTAGTCCCCATAAAGCAGCTTGGACTCATGCGGCTTGTCAGAGTAAACTCAGAGCTGGATGACAGGCACACGCAGCCAATGGACACGGGTTCATGATGGCAGAGGCGGAGAGTCCATAAAGCCATTATGGATCCACTGAGTAGTGGGGACAAAGCCTTCTTAAGTTCACTCACTGCGGTGACTCTATTAATGGATCCTGCTGCCTAATGTCTACTTTGATAGTCCCAGTACTACCTCACATAGTCAGATAGCCGTAACTACAGGAGCAAAAATATAGCTAAGTTATATAAACTCCAACACCAATAAATAATATGCATCAAAACCTGATATATGTTTTTTTTATATATTTGATTAATAAAATACAGGAATGTCTGTTCACTATGAATGTGGCATGGGTGTTGATGCCAGAGATTTTTCCACTTCACCATCTCTGGAGTTTACAGAGAATGGTCTAAAAAAGAGAAAATATCCAGTGAGCAGCAGTTCACGTTGATGCCAGAGGTCAGAGGAGAATGTCCACACAGGAAGGCAACAGTGAGTCAAATAACTACTTGTTACAACCAAGGTATGCAGAAGAGCATCCCTGAAGACACAACATGTCAAACCTTGAAGGAGATGGCTACAGAAACAGAAGACCACACCAGGTTCCTCTCCTGTCAGCTGAGAACAGGAAACTGAGGCTACGGTTCCCACAGAATCAGAATACTTTATTAATCCATTAATTTAATTATTTTTTAAAAAGCACTCTGTTTATTATTATTTAAATTAGACTGTGGTAAGATCATCATTTTATCTTGATAGCTACTTTTGTCATTTATAATCTGCTGTTTTATCCGTAATCTGAACCAAAGTGGGTTCCACATTAGAGCATCATTAGTTTCCATTATAAAGACATTTTTAATGCGCTGTGGAGGAAAAACCTTTTGTTCCTCATGCTCCATATCCACATCACTTGTGATCACAGTATGATAAGTCATCATTATTATTTTAACTGTTCTCATTATTACCCTCTGGCCTGATGGAGATCAGTGATAGTATGACAGGATTCTTAGCGTTTGTACATTAAAGACATTTTCCTTTTACAGCAGCTAATCCGGTTACTGTAATCAGATGTTCCTGGTTATTAAGATAATCACAAATTACTTGAGGTTTCCCAGCTGTTAGCAGAGGCTGGACTAAGTGTAGGTAAATACAAAAATATTTGTGTTGGTGAGACCTCCAGTGTCACAACATGACTTCTCCACCCTTGTGTCTGTGCTCTTTGCCACCGGCAGAGTCACATCTGTGACTCGATTTACCTTCATCAATTTTGAATGAAAGAAGCTCAGCTGCTACATCAGTCATGTTTCCATAGATCTTTCTGTGTGTAGATAAAACAACAATACGCTCGCTTTCAAAAAAGGGTTCAACATTATAACCGTCATGAAGGCAGGGTTTATTGTAGGACTGCTGCACCGACTGCCTTCAGGCATGTTATTCTATTCAAGTGAGATCTCCGCAGTTAGCAGGTGGGTTGTTCAGCGGTTCCAGTCTTCTTGACACATCACAATACAAAGCTAAGTAATACTAAAGTTGTTACTTTGAATTTTTGATTTATTTTTGTCTTACATAGAAAATGTTTTCTGGTAGGGTTTTTAAGACCTGTGGACCGAAGGTTTGAAGGTGAAGTCCCAGGTTGTCCGATCCCAAAGCTGGATCCAAACCATGCCAGAACAATCCTCCCACAGCACGGCAGAGTCACCGGATCCGGCCTGTGCTGTCCTCAGGAAGTACACCTCACATGCACTTGCCCGCTTGTTTAGAATATAGCGAAGGATGACTCAGCTGACTCTGTCAGTTTTTCCACATCTGCAAAGAGCAGTGATTGTTCTACAGCATCTGAGGAAGAGCCACCCATCTGTTTTCCCTTACATATTCCAAGCTGGAGCGTCAAAGTCGTGAAACAAGCTGTTTCCTCATTTCTGTCCCATAGATCCACACGGCCGTGTCACATTATTCACATTATCCTATTGAAACCGTGTCAAACTGCTTCACCCGTCCTCTGTTACCCCAACAGTGATTCTTCTGCCACAATTCCAGCTTTTCCTCGTGACTTCTGAGAGAATAATCAGACAAATGCACTGCAGTCTGAGAGTTGGTGCACTTTAAGGCCAGCATTTACATGTATGTACTGTAAACAGCTGAGCATCATGAGCAGGTGAAAGAAAACTGTGAGAAAAAATGGAAAACTACCTGCCACAATGGAACCCTTATTTTTTTTTCTTTCCTTTGTAGCTTGCATTTGTTTGTTGTAGAGTTTAACTTTGGAGCACATCTGCCAGCCCGTCTGCCTGCATCTGCGCTGGTTTCTTCCCACAGTCTCAAAACACTCATGGTGTGGATGTGACTGTGAATGGATTGAAGTGGATGACCGGTTAGATAAATTGATACTTAAGTATTATCAAAGTAACTCCATCCATGTGACGTTTACTGCTTTACAGGGACATGTTCAGGTCACATGACAGGACGGTGAAGTTGCTCACACGATTTCTGTGATTCTGTGATCTTTATTAATTCCTCAGAGTAGCAATTTTAGTCCACTAAATGGGTTCAAATTAAATTTCTTGAAAGCACTACTTGAACATAAAAGGGTTAGTTCACACTGACGATGTGTGTTTGGATGCGTTTACAAGCTGGTGATGCAGTCCTGAGTACCTGCGCCTCAGCAGAGTGTGTGTATTCTCTCTATTACATAAATGTAGTGTGTATCTGTGGTCCCACTCATTTATTCAGAATCTTCCGTTAACTTGTAGTGAAATAATCTCTACCTGCCTGCTTATTCCTTTCACGTACTGCATTAGAACCTGCTGCTCAAGAACAGGCACTTTACTCCTGAATTATGAAGCAGCGTGTTGTGTTTATTCGTGAAGCTCGGGTCTACTGAACACGTCAAACAGAAAAACTCGGAGACGCAGCGCTGGTCGTGTTTGTCGTTAGATTTTATTGCAGCTGAGGTTTTCTTAGTGTTTACAAAACCAGAGCAGATTGCAAGCGTCCACGGGGAGTGAAGGGGGGCGGGAGTTTCACATGAGCATCGTCACGCTGCGTCAGTTAAGGGTGCAGCCTGCAGCTTCACCCCGTTACATTCACAGTGTCGCCGCCGTCGAAGCCTCATCCAGCTGGAACGGGAACTTTTTGGATGATTATACATAAACGCTGAGGGTCGTGTACAAGCTTTAAATTTACAATTCTGTTTCTCTAAGTTACATTCAAAACAAAAAACAAGGCAACCACAGAGCGCTAAAATGAGATGCTGACTCTATGCTGTGCAGCTTTCAACCTCACCTCCACCCTCTCTCTTCTCTCTTACAGCACCCCCCTCCCCCCGGCACTCTCCCGATCTGCCCTCTCCTCAGTCTGCAGCTGTGAGCGTCGGGGAGTGTCGTAGTGCTGTTGATAAGGCAGAAACAGAGAGAGCTACTCACTCAAACCTTAAAAGGTCAAGAGCTCTGTGCATGTGTGCATTTGTGATGGGTAAGATAAGGAAGATAATGCAGCTGTATGACGGGTGAGGCGGTGGTGTGTTGGAGTCTCTAGTTTCTTACTAAAAAGGCTCGAGATACAGCCCGAGAAAATTCGTTTTTTAAGCTTTATATATCATAGCACAACCATTCAACCCAGTAATATTTAAAGAACCTTGAAGCACCTCACTGGATCGAGTGTTCTCATTACGATTTATTGGAGCCAATCAGATGGCTCGCTGAGTCGTTACTGCTGTGCATGAACCCACTAGAAGCCTAGTTTGTCTGTGAATGTGTGCACAGTGTCCATCAGTCTGCTCATTGGCTTGCATTGTTGATCGTCTCGGCGTGGTGGAGCTGCTCTTAATGTTGGGAGTGGGGAGGGAGACACTGTGGCTGAGGGAAAGGTGGAGGGTGAGAGTTTGCTTGAGGGAACGCCTCGACTTGGGACTGGCGTTGCAGCTGTGGTCTCTGAGCAGCAGCAGCAGCAGCAGCAGCTTTGGCCTCCCTCTTGGGAGTATTGTTGAGGATGTCCAGGCTCCGGCGACTGGAGGAAATGACATCGGCGACGAATTTGGTGCATTCAGCACAGACGTCCCGCAGTGTGCAGCCGTGAGCGTACAGGTGGGGGAACTCCTCCTCCACTGAGCGGCGGGATAAGCTGCGCAGCGACCTGCAGAGGAGGGTGGAACAGTTTTATTAGAGCAGACGTGAGGCACTCAAAGAAAGCCGAATATAAAACTAAGGGAGATGTCCATAATGACTACATGGTTCTTTAACAATAATTTAACTCAGGGGTGTCCAACTCCAGGCCTCGAGGGCCGGTGTCCTGCAGGTTTTAGATCTCACCCTGGATCAACACACCTGAATCACATGATTGGTTCATTACCAGGCCTCTGGAGAACTTCAAGACATGTTGAGGAGCTAATTTAGCCATTTAAATCAGCTGTGGTGGATCAAGGACACCTAAAACCTGCAGGACACCGGTCCTCGAGGCCTGGAGTTGGACACCCCTGATTTAACTGCACATCCAATAAGCACTCAGGGCCATCCCTCACACCCCCAAAACAAAAATGTTTTAGTTCACAAGCCATAAAAAAAACTGAGGGCTGACCCCCCCTCCCTTATGACTTACAAAAATAAAATGCTTTTTTAGATATTTAATAAATCACACATGTTGTGGAAAAGCTACAGTACTACTTTAAGTTTTTCTTCTTCAGAAAAAGCCACTAATTTATTTCTCTTTTTATTTATCTATTTATTGGCAGCACTTTTAAAACCAAACTGACAACAATGACTGCTCAGCAGAGACACATCAGCTGAACATCTGGAAAGATGGAGCTACACTAGATCTTTCCAAGCTTATCCAAAGTGGCTGAAATATAAACACAGACATGCAGCAGCGCTGGGGCATCACAGTCACTAACGAGGAGATTAAGGTCAGCTTCTCTGATTGAAAAAAACAAAAACAAAACAACTCGCTGCTACAAAACTCTGTGTGTTTCTGTGCACGGAGCCGCATGGTCGGGTCTTGGTGACAGGTGTTAGAGAGCGGCTCAGCACAGCACCACGCCAGTGGCCCATTTCTCTCGTCAGCTCGCTGTTTGGCTCTCTCTGTCCACTCTCTCTTCCACTTCTGTCTTCACAGGGCCAAAAACAGCGAGGATTTTGATGACAGCTGGGTAATTATTACATAATGGCTGCTTAGAGGCCCTGGAAGAGGCACTGCGCTGATTACATAACTAAAGAGAGAGAGAGAGGGGGGGGGAGGTAGGTGGAAGTTGGTGATTGGATTGAGTAGGCAATCTGCGATTGGTTGAGGTAAGCACAGAGGCTGGTGCTGCTTAGGCTCGAGAAGGTTAGCAGTCATTGGCTTGAGTTAGAGACAGACTTAAATAGATTTGACCTGTTTTTCCGTCTAGGTGTCCACTGTCTCGGGATTGAACCTGAGCAGTGAGCGGATGACAACACTGTGGGGAAACTGGTGTGTTGGAGTCCAAATGTCAGGTTGGCCTCAGGTTTGGAAACAAAAAGGCGTGCAGCTCAGAAGGTAGTACTTAACCTAGCTTAGCTACGCCAGGTGTTTCATATTTGCTACATGGGTTTTTGAGACCCATGTATCTGTCTGTGCAATAAGTTGCACAAAAATGCCAGAAGTAGCAGATATGATACAAATTAAACCTCAGATATGCAAATTAATATTTAATTTATTTTTTAAAAATTTGAATTTTGGGGCAATTGTTTCAGGGTCCAGGCCTTACAGGGATTAAACCTTTGAACTTCCTTATCAGCTTTGACGAGCTTAAACTAAGGCTGTAAACATGTTAAAGAGGACCTGTTCTGCTCCTTTAGTATTCTATGTAGCACTGCATTATTCACATTTAAAAATAAAACAAAACCTGAAAACATTTTTCTCTTCTGCCAGCTCCTCATTTGAATCGGGGCTTTCTTTCCTTTCTTTCCTGAAGCCTGCAGAGGGGCAGCAGGCATTGCCTGGGAGAGTGGGAGCCTTGAAGTTCCAATTCTAAGTTAATGTTATCAGAAAATGGCAACCAGAGTTATTATAGTTTTCTCATTAGTTTTTATTTTTATTTAGAATTTTTGTTTTAACCCTTTCGAGGCAGGCGTTGCCGATTTGCAACAGTTAAAAACTAACAACCTGATTACCCCACATACATATTTTATGAGGTTTTTTTACTCAGAAGGGCTGCATGTTACTGCAGGACTTGGTTGTGCATTAGCAACACAAAGTTTAATTTGAATCGGAGAGGGTTAAGTTCAGTTTGTCTGCCACAGCAGATTTTCTTGTTTCAGTTAGTTTTAGTCTTTTTAATTATACATGTATAGAGGGCAAATCAGTGCAGGAATCACAATCAAAACAAAGAGCATATATATAATATATAATCATGTATAGACATCCAGAGTCTATATTAACACATCCATCATCAGACAGATACTAAAACATTTCCTTGGTATATTTTTTATTTTAGTTTAGTCAGTTTTCAAAGTTAACAAAATAAAACAAACTGGAATGATCTTGTTAAGTCTAGTTTTTATTTTTTATTTTTGTTTTTCACATCCAGTTTTAGTTTTTGGTTTATTTTTTGTTTACTGAAATCATCTTGATGCTACTTTTTGAAATGAAAGATGTGGAAGGCTGCGACAGCTGCAAACATCTGCAGCAGCTGCAAGCATCTGCAGCAGCTGCAAGCATCTGCAGCAGCTGCAAACATCTGCAGCAGCTGCAAACATCTGCAGCAGCTGCAAACATCTGCAGCAGCTGCAAACATCTGCAGCAGCTGCAAACATCTGCAGCAGCAGACACTCCAACAGGAACTTTACGTTTAACACCTGCTTATTTTGAGCCACACCACTCAAACATATTTTAGTTGCTTTCTAAAACACAAAAGTGTTTGAAGAGAATAAGCCTCTGTGCTAACAAAGGAGAAACAGTGACTTGCTATTTTGAGTTAAGTTCCTGAGAGGTTCCTGTGGTTCTTCTCCCCACATGGTGTGACTGTCAGCGGGTCTGTCTGAACTGCCATTCCAAAATATATATATATATATATATAATAAAATAATAAAAGAGCAGATCAGGGCACTGCCAGTGAAAGGTGCCAGACACCAAAGATGTGAGATCGACATCTAGGGACATTTTAGAGAGTTTGATGTTAGAAAAACGAAGCTTTTAATTAAAAAAGGCCATGTCTGGCAGAGATCGAGGCGGTGTGTGCCCCTGCCAGGCCTCTACTGCTTGGCTATCATAGCCGTTCCCAAATCCCCCTCTCATGTAGATTTTAGGGGATAGTGGTTGACGCCGGTGCAAACTGCACCCCTTTTTAAGAGCTCTGCAACAGGCACAGCCTCCATAGGAAACTCATCAGCTAGATTTGGAAAGGAAGGTATGTTAGGTATGCTTTTCACATTTCTTTTGATCTTTCTCCTGGTCCTCAGTGCATACTTCAGAAGAAAACTGTCGTTTTATTTTCAGCCAGCTTTATAATCTTCTCTACAATAAACAGACTCAGCTATTGAAGACAAACACAGACTCACTTGTAGACTTGGCTTTTTTGTCCATGGCTCTTTGGAGTGCTGTGAAAGCCCACAGTGTACACAGGAATGTGGGCCATCTTCTTTGAGGGAATCTTCATCTGGAGCACAGAAGAGGCAGACCAAGAGGAAAAACAATCAGGCAGAGGAAATAGAACCGAGAGAGCCTGTGGTGGGAGGCACTGCAGATGACTTTCACATTACAAGTATTTCTAGCCTCTACGACAATAGAGATTCAAAACACACGAACATCAAGGCCACGAGCCGTACAGTCACAGAGCAACAATAAGCAAATGCACATATTTCAATAAAAACTAACCACAACTGTAAAAAACAACACACACAAATTAGCCACAGCACACAAATCACACAAAATCCAAACCTACAGAGCACAGAACCACACATCCAACACGGCCCGGGACTGAGGCAACAAATCAAAACCAGCAAAAGAACAAAGAAGAAGAAGTGACGTCAATAGAAATGACAACCGGGCTCAAATAATGCGTTAATAAGCACTAAAACATGTCATTTAACCCCTTTCTGCAGCAGCTCCAGCAGCCTCTTTCTTTCTCTTTTTACATGTAAAAGCTCCACATAGCTTTACTTAACAGGTCAACCTGAAGCATAAATGACTTCATATGTTTATTCTCATTAAAATGTAGCCCTTTAAATGCAAGTTCTTTGTTGTAACAATGCTTCTTGGCAATAAATCTTATACCATTACCAAAGCCTGCTTATTTCCCCTTAAATGGCCTTTTCATCCTCTCCACTCCCCTAACAGAGGTAGCCTCTGATGAACCCCGCTCTGTAGAGCATAGAGTCCCAGACATCATAGACGTTGCAGAATCTCATCTAGATATCTCTCTGAACTGAGATCGCCTGCAGTGATGACAAGCCTTGTATTTCCAGTGAGGGAGATACCACCCCACAGCAGTGCGCTGCCTCCATTAAAAGCTGTTACTCTATCAGTCCACTCCACACTCTGATGATCCAGTGGCCGTAGGCAGAGTCTGAACTCAATGCTGAACGAAGCTAATCAGGCGCCAGTCAGACATCTGACGGTCTCCAGAAGCTCAAAACAAGAGCTAATGGCAGAATAAGCAGTTTGGCATTGGCAGAGAAGATTTAGCAAGTTTCTCATAGGTCCAACCAACATACTCTACTCTGCTACTCGACCTACAATCGTGTTTCCAACAGTTTTAAGACTTAAGACATAAGATTTGCCAAGAAGAAGAAGCATACAACCAAGAGTGTAATCGACCAAACTAACATTGCCTTTCTTTTTGTGTTTATATGAAAAAAAATGACAACAAATTTTATTATGAATATAATGGTGACACTCACTGCACACAGCTCTGTCTGTGAGTGCAGAAGCTCCACCCACTCCGTGCCAAAACCTTCTGTTTATGAGGAGCAGCCAATAAGAAGAAAGTTGACTAAAACGGCTTTAAAGGGAGTCCAGATGCCAGAGTCCTCACACCAGAGTGATGCAGAGAGCAGTTAAATCTATATCTATTACACTGTTTTATGTTAAAAATAAAATTTGTTTTTCATGTTTTGTAGAAATATTTTTTAACTTAACAATTCACAGTGTGTAAGAATGACAGTTCAGATGTGAAAACATTATATAACTTTATATACTTTAATTAAAAAGACCTGCTATTAAATGACATAACATGTATGAACAGAAAAATTAAAAACTCTACAGCAGTAAAAGTAATGACATGAAAAGCGAGGCTAAAAAGGCTGAGTACAAAATCATACACAGCACAATAAAAACAGAGCCAAAAAAAAAGATTTGAAAGTTAGAAAGTTACCTTTGCACTGCAGGAGCTGCAGACAGATCTGGGAGAAAAAGAAAAGATTTTACTACTACAGCACACATGTCTGCACACTTTCCTACTGCTTAAGCGGGAACAGGCTGCTCTGATGGCTATAAACCCCCCACCCCGGTAAGACCTGTTCTCATGCTACTTGTTCTAATAATCCCTAATTGTAGCATTTGGAGGTGCAGCACAGTCACAGCGCGGTCCCTGGTTCCAATCTCTTGCATGAAAACCTTTGAATTCAGTGGTGATTAGTGGGAGCATAAATGTGAAGGGTACAGAAAAAAATCAGTGGCACTGAAGGTCGTAGTAAGCACAGTGGTGTCCATCGTGGCAGGAAGCAGGAACTGGGAGAGTAGAGAAAAATGAATGCAAGAATGAGCAGCTCCAGAGCGCTCTGGACCTCAGGCTGGGACAAAGCTTCATGTTCTGACAGGACAACCACCCTAAACACACAGCCAAGACAAAGAAGTGGCCTCAGGGCCACTGTGTGAATGTCCTTGAGTGACCCGGTCAGAGCCCAGGCTTGAAGCCAATTGAACATCGTTGGCAAGATCTGAAAATGACCGCGCACCGACGTGCCCCATCCAGCCTGATGGAGCACGAGAGGCTCTGCAAAGCAGAATGGAAGAAACTGCCCACATATATGTGTGCTAAGCGTGTAACTGAGTACCACAAAGGCTGAATGCTTATGCACATGTTATATTTAGTTCTTTTATTTTCATACATCACAGCAAACTTTGTTCACTTTGTCTTTATGAGATATTGTGAGTAGATTTCTGAGGTAAAAAATGAATCGCACTTTGGAATAAGCCCGTAATTTGACAAAATGTGGAACAAGTGAAGTGCCGTGAATACTTTCCGCATGGACTGTAAATATGCCCGGGTATTGATTTGTGGAGACTCATGTTTCAGCTGCAACCTTGGAACAAACGTTTAAACATCAACAAGAGAATGAAAGACTTCCTTCATACCTTTTGCACAGTAAGCAGGTAGACGGCCACGAGAAGAGGGGGAATTTCACTTTGCAGCAGCAGCAAACCTGAGAACACACACTCACAGTCAGTGAATCCCGTTAGTGTCAACAGCACAAAGAAACACTGCACTGAGAGAAGTTCTGCACTGTTACCTTCCCCCGCTTCAGGTTATTGTAGAGCTCTTTGCTCTGGAGAAACTTTTCCATCTCCGCTTTGACCAGTACTCGCCGCACGTTGATGACCTCGTCCACGGTTAAGGCGAGGCTCTCAACAGGGTGGCTGAACTCATCCTGAACACAACCGAGAGCAGTTAAAGAGAGGAAACCCATCATTCTGAGCTCCTGTCCACGGTTTATTTTAAAGAAAAAGCTAAAGATAAGAGATTACAGAGGAAAACTACAAACCGACTGAGGTCAAAGCCAAAATGTTATCATCTGCAGTTTTATGTTTGTGTGAAACAGTCAAAGAAAAGTTTAAGCTCCTCAACACAAGTCTTTTCATACACATGAAAGACTTGTGTTCAAAAAATTAACTAAACCTTGCAGGAAATTGCCAGAAATGTAACATTTCAACACAACAGTATGTACTACTCCTTTTACAAAACTGAACTATCTGCCAGTCTCGTGTCCTCCTGCACAGTTTCGCACCTGAGCCTCCAACTTCCCTTTCTACTGCACGGATACATGTTGTGCATATCTGTGAAGGGAGCAGTACACACCCATGCAAAGGTTTTTTGGGGCGGGCATTTTTTTGCACGGATTAGCCTTCATTTGAAAAATAATATGGCAACTTTCAAAATAAAGTCATTGCTGTTGATTTAGATCAATATTATCGATACTGCAGCACTTTATACAGTAAAAAAAATGGAGATATAACCCCGCCAATCTAAGCTCAGTAACAGATAAAATTGGCTTGACAGGATAAATATTTCTGCAGTGATGTCACATGAAGCCGAGGACCATCCTCTGCCTCTGCAGTGTTTTCATCTCACCATCCACTGGTGCTCGTCTCCAGCTCTGGACTCAAACGTGGTCTCGGATCCCTCTGTAGTCTCGTCGACTGAGCTCAGAGACAGGCGGGCTGGAGAGGGCGGCACCCAGCCGTGAACCGGGAAGGAGGCTGGCACGTGGACATGAATGAAAAGTGAATGAGACAGAGAGGGAATGATGAGCTGAGGACAGTAGAAAGTGAATGAGAGAAAGCCACGAGTCGCGGTCTGAAGAATCCATGAATTACACATCAGCCTCTTTCATTCAGGCCCGTCTCGGATCTCAGGCCTTCAGAGAGTTTGTCGATTCGACTGGAACGTCGTCATCTATTATTAATCTGATTTCAGTGGAGCGATTGGCCCATGCTGCTACATCTGTAACTCAGATCACGGTGAGAGGTCTGCTCTTAACACAGCAGACCTCACACAGTTTAAACTGGGTGCCTCTTCGATCCTGCAAATGGAAGGTGTCAATTTGTCTCTAATGGAAAGTAAACAGGGCAATGGGAGGGCTGGAACAGGCCAGTAAACATGATCAGCACATATAATTTGGATCAGCTGCCGATGACAGCCGGCTTATAGGCTTACCTCCTCTCACTGGCACACTTGAGGCCGGAGAGTCCTCTATTGGCAGAGCTGTGCACTGCAAATTAAAAATCCTGCTATCGTCCAGCTGAGTGTAATGTTTATGGCACATAAGCACTGTGGATGGCTTTGCAGAGTGGATCAAAGTCAGGATCGTTTTTCAAACAATTACCTCTGGATATGGACACCGAGGCTGCTAATGCACGAATCATGGCTATCAAACACATAACATCCTTCCCGGGGCTTTCATGCAGCGCACAATTCAAAGCCATTAGCTTCTACCCTCCTTCACCCAATCACTTGATTCGATTACAATCCATCTGTGAGCCGTTCCACGGCCGACGTGAATCCAAGTCAAGGCTGCAGCGCGGTGAACTGACACAGCTGTTCTGTGAGGTAACGGTGGTTCAGCGAGGTTGGAGATTGGAAGCAGTGGTGACATAATGTCTCCCAAACCATTAAATCATTTCATTACCCCGAGGGTTGGGAATCGAATAAACATTTCTTCCTAGAGTTTTGGTTTTGTAGCCGTAACGGTAATTAGTAGATGCTGAGTTTTGTCATGACTGTTTACTGCTGCTTTCCTTCCAGGCCTCGAGGCAGAAGAGGTGGAAACTTAAAAAAAAAAAAAAAACCTTTTAAGACTTCAGTATCCCCTGCACTCAGTATGGTGGGTCTGATGTCTGTTCGGAGGCATTCTTCATTCAAATACAGTGATGAAGAGGAAGCCATCAGGAGGCTCATCAACACACGTCTCTTTGTGGCTCTTCATATGTCTGTGAATGTACAGACAGCTATTACTGTCTGTACATTCACATTAAAAGAAACATTAAAAATGTCCAAGTTTTAAACTTTTTTAATGATAGAAGGTGATCAAGGGAGGTTTGTGGTTTTGGCTTGGTTTGTCCTTCTGAATTCACATATCTATTACAGACCAGGGTCTCGGGGTCTTTTATAAAGACAAACTTGATGCAAGAATGTACAGTACAACAAATCTGACCCATGCACAGAGACGGTTGAAACCTGCTGACACAGATGTTGAGGCGGTGAATCAAAGCCAAACTATAATAATTGAATACACGCTGTCAATATATCCGATACCATCTGATACATTTATATTAACTTCAGACAACACACGTCCTCCCACGGTGTGAAGTAGAGACTTAGAAGGACAGACTCTACGGTGACCAACAGCAGTAGAGCCCATGTATAAATTACAGGGAGTGCAGAATTATTAGGCAAGTTGTATTTTTGAGGAATAATTTTATTATTGAACAACAACCATGTTCTCAATGAACCCAAAAAACTCATTAA